CGGCAAGCTGCGGGCCTTCCTGCTGCCGGGACCGCAGGCTGCAGGTAAGGGGCTGCGCCGCGGGGAGGGGGGAGAATAAATCCTCGGTGAAACGAAGCTTTCCCCGACCTCTTCCATCTCTGACGAACGAGGCGCTCACAGAGCGGGGCTGGTTCTGCTTGAGGAGGAAGGGGCGGCTGGAAAAAGTTCTGTTAGCGTGCACATTTGGAAACTTAAGACGGGGAAACTGGGGATCCGGATCAAGAAAGTGCAGTCCCTCTGTGCAAACATTTCATTAAACTGTTTGCTGACCAACAAGCAAGTATGTTAACATCTGTTTAATAGAGAAGTGTGTCAAACGGCTTTCCGCTGTTTGCGTTTTAGAAAGGCAGAAGGCTTTCCCGCTAGGTTGCTGGGACTCTTTGGCTGGCCTCTCCTTATGAGAGGAAGCGGCACCGGTGCTCCTGTTCGCTGGCTGCTAGTGGAGCAGGAGATGCCTTAAGGTGATTATTTATGTGCTGCTCCCAAGCCAGGGCGGTTTGATGGAGGGAGAGAGTCCAGAGGCACTCGCTGAAGGTTGGAATCCCATTGGAACATGGAGCAGCTTCCTCCATCACGTGAACCTTCACCCTTTGCGTGAACTGGGAACGAGGGGCATCCGCTCCGGTCTTGAGAGTTGGTTCTGTTGAATGACTGCTGGAGAAGGAGAAGACAGAGCTGCACTTTGCCAAAAATCTTACCATTTTCAGCCTAAATAGTCAAAATGCAGAGCTCCTGTCTCTGCATTCTTAGCTGAGGGAGAGCTCCAGATTTTGAAATTGGTAGGAGCTTTGATTCCTTAAAAAGGGCAGAGCGGGACCCTCGCAGCTTACGCTCGAGGAGTGAATGGCACAGGCCTGGGGTGTGAGAAGGAAGGAGTGTGCTCACCCGGGATGACAGGCACGCAGCGCCTGCTTGCTTGCAGGGACTGCTCCGCTTCCAGCTCCAAGCCCAATGCTCTCTGGAACACGCCCTCCCCGAGCAGGAGCGTGTCACCTCCCTTGCATGCAGCCAGGTCCTGCGTCGCGTGCTACACTCTTGGCCGCTCCTGGTTTGCAGAAATGGCCAGAAATCGGTGGTGTATGTTGCAGCAGCTTCTTAACAGCAGCTGCAGCGGGCCGCCGACTTACTTCCCGGGTCAGTGTTTTTGGGCACAGAAGTGTTGGGTCAGTAGTATGCACGTCCAGCCCTTCTACTGTCTTTTAAAAGCGAGCAAGTAACTCTCGTAGTGGTTTTGTTTCTCTTACGAGGGTGTAAAGCTAACATGGCAGCAGGTTTTGTGAAACAGTTCATCAATCAAATGCGCTTTACGGTTTCAAATGTGGCATTACTGACTGTTCCAAAGTGAAGTGGAAGAAGCGCCCTTGAAATGCGATGGTCTGTCTAAACTGAAATGACCAGCCTGGGAATTTAGTGCACACTAAGAATATTTTCTGCTTATTTTTGGTAGAGGAGGCAAACTGATGAACTGGACTGATTGCAGAAAACCTAGCAGGCATAGTATTTATATTTAGGAGATTTCAGGTTTATAATGTTTTATTGTATCATTTCTTGCACACTTCATTGAGAATGTGGGGAAAAAAAAAGTACTGCTGTTTAAAAACAGGACATCAAACCACAAAAAAAAATGTTCAAATACCACTGAGAGTCTGAGTTAAACCCACAAAAGCCAGGAAATTTAGACTTAAGACTTAAACTTCCTTAATCCATTTGCACTGGGAGTTGCATTTTCCTGGTCAATTATGTCCATTGCCAGCAGTGGCTGCACGAAAACCACCGGTTCCAGGATGTTAACTTGGATCGCTGCTCCTCGTCGTGTTCCTCCCCTGTTCCTGTGTGTTGGCTGTGCCACTGTGCTGCCTGTGTTGAAATACTTGGACTCGATGGGCTACGTGAACGTAGACTTTTGGGTTTAGCGTTCAGTTTCCTGGCTTTTGTGGTTTTTCAGTGAGCCGTCAAGTATGATTTTAATACAGATTTCCAGGATGTTCCTTTTGCACTGCTTGTCATTGTGCACTCCTCATATGATTTTCTTTTTAAAAAAAAAAAAAGTGGCCAGCAGCCAAGGCAGCGACTAGTGGGACTTGGCTGCTTAGCTGATGGGAATATCCTGAACATGAACATTTCCCTGGAGGAAATGCAGCCAGTTACAGTTACACTGCAGGAGTCTCGTAAGAGGGAGAAATGCAGCGTAGACAAATACCTCAGAAGGTACAGGAAGACTGGGCATATGCAGTATTTTGGAAAAATGTGCTTCTCCTGTATTTTTGTGGCTGGTAGTTTAAAGAGAAAATATTTTTGAAGCTCGTAATGAAAGCAGATATTTGTTGTTTGGCACCATTATGGAATGAATGGAATTTTTTTCCCCATTATCTTTAGAAGGTGTTTTGTACACCTAGAAGTGGTTCTGATTTTAATAGCAGAAGGGTGAAAACATCCTATTATTATTTTGCCCAGCAGCCAAGGCAGCGACTAGTGGGACTTGGCTGCTTAGCTGATGGGAATATCCTGAACATGAACATTTCCCTGGAGGAAATGCAGCCAGTTACAGTTACACTGCAGGAGTCTCGTAAGAGGGAGAAATGCAGCGTAGACAAATACCTCAGAAGGTACAGGAAGACTGGGCATATGCAGTATTTTGGAAAAATGTGCTTCTCCTGTATTTTTGTGGCTGGTATTTTAAAGAGAAAATATTTTTGAAGCTCGTAATGAAAGCAGATATTTGTTGTTTGGCACCATTATGGAATGAATGGAATTTTTTTCCCCATTATCTTTAGAAGGTGTTTTGTACACCTAGAAGTGGTTCTGATTTTAATAGCAGAAGGGTGCAAATATCCTATTATTATTTTCTTTCCTGTTCTGTATGTTGAATAAGGTTAAGAAAGAAAAAGCACTGAAAGCAGCTAACTAGAATCGTTAAACTCGGTGTGGTAGAATTTATTGTATTAAAGCCTCTTTTTTTAAAAAAAAAAAGAAAAAGGACCCTGCCTTTCTGGGGAAGGCGGAGTGTCAGGGTGCACCCCGCACATTATCCGGCAGGGCTGCGTTTCGCTGCAGGGGGTGAAGCCGCCCGTGGGCGGCGGGGACCGGGGACCCCCCGGGGCAGCGGGCCTTCGGGCAGCCAGGTACCTTGTGAGGGTGATGGGGGCACGGGGATGCTGCGGTGACAAAAGCCATCGCTTGAGCACCAAAGGTGCTGACGTGTGCAGAATGCGAAGCTGTTCGTCCTCCTACATACTGCTATTTTGTAAGGGAAAACTAAGTGCGTAGGCTAATCTAGTGGTTTGTTGCCCTTCGAGGCGCAGCTGGCAGTTGATTAACGTTGTTTCTCCCCTGCATTTGTTCTTCTCGAAGGAAATTCCAGTGATTCAGAAGAGGAAGACCAGAGTACCAGCAGCATAGAAAATCAGGCCATCCTGAACTCTCACAGGGTGCCAGATTCCAAATCTCATTCACCACACATCAAAATAGATATCATCAGGAAAGTGGAAGCCAAAAACACGCAGCGCTACAAAGTGGAATATGATTCGCAGAGTACAGATACACTGAATTTCTCTTCTGAATCCAAACAAGAGACTGAGTATGTAAGTACTTTTGTGAATGGAAAGGCATTTCCCAGTGTGTGAGTGTGCACACGTGTGTGTATGTATATGCACGTTGTGCATATGACACGCTAAATAAATAAACCGAAGAACTCAATGGTGGCAATTGTTGCAGCCATTTAGGGCATTTTGGCTGTTTAACTGGTAAGACTACTGGTTCTGCAAATTCAGACAGTCGGCAGACTGAACAGATCACGTTCAGGAAACACAGAGGTCAAGCACAATGACATTTACATTGATACAAGTATGATTTTCACAAAGCTCTTTCTTAGAGACCAAAAGTTCTTGTTCCCCCCTGTAATTACTACACGTTTGTGTGAGCGGCCTTGGGACAGGTTTAATAGTGTCATTGTTAAATATGGTTGCAAACAGCGTTATTGGGTTGCAGTAACGGAAAAAACAATGCTTCACATTCAGTGTGGTGGCACCGTGCTCTCACTCCACAGTGCAAATCAAGGGAGATAAATGTGGCCTGGGTTGAGGATTAGGATCTTGACAGATCAGACGTTTGTATGACATGCTGGATGGCACCTCCACTTGCAGTTGTCGTTTGGTGCCACTGTCTGAATGCAAAGGCTCAGGGGCACACAAGCTGCCATTGCTTGCTACTGACTGTGCCCAGTGGATTTGCAGGGCAGCTGGGGTGTGGTGAATCTGAGGGGAAAATAATTCCTCTTGCTGTACATCCCAGCTAATAACCCAGTGGTTGTGCTTGTGCCTGTGCCAGATGGCCTAAAAAATATGTCTGCAGATACTCTGGCGTTTCATCAAAACATGTCGTGAAACCGGACATGGCTTCCCATCTGCAGAAGAAGGTTTTGAAACCTGTGTGAAGTGGAAAGTTGTGGCTGAACAGAGCAAGAGCGCGGCCTCCAGCTTAACACAGCCAGGGTGGTGAAGCTCTGTGTTTAGTTTGTCACTGATTTCCAGCTGTCTAGTAAAAACACTTCAGTGTCTGCCTTCCACTGTGTCCTCCTCCCAAAAGCGTGAAGTAAACTGCCGACAGTAAAAGAATGAGCTCTGGCAGCTCTGAAGAAATAGGGTCCTGGTATTAACTGTGATGAACATTGCACTTACGTGGTGCTTGGGCCCCATGAGCAAAGGCACACCAACTTACCAAGGCTGCCGGTGTCTGTAAGAACCAGAAATAAGTCCCATCAGGGACAAGTGCCTGTGTCAGCAAACACCCTTCTAGCTGTGTCTGCATGTTAGCGCTTGATATTGATCTCTCCGACTTTAGAATCCCGCTTCAAAATAATAATTAGAAAAACGCTGTTGGTCTTTTTGTAGGCCTAACTGAGGACTAAGTCTTCAAATGTGTGTGATTTGCAGTCAGCGTGTCTGAGCAGTTTTGTTTTTTTAAGGAACTGCTAATAAGAGCAGCAATTTAAAGCATGTGTTTACAGCTTGTGAGATCAATACTGAAAGAAAACATATGAAAGCAGCAAGGAAGGTCTTTGCAAACCCAAAAGATCAATTTTAAACTCCAGTAGAACTGTGGAGTCTGTATGCTTTCAGACACTGACATGAAAGCCACTTCACATGAGCAAGCTATTAATATTACCACTTGGAAGTATAAATGTCATTGCTTCACTAATTAAAAATTGCACCTAATGAGTCTTTGTGTTGATACAGCAACTTAAACATTTTAAACCCATGCAACCATGCAAAGGAATTTTTTCGGGTCTCTGCTGAAGAATCAGGCTGGTGGACTGAGTCAGTAATGTGCCCAGACAGGAGCACGGCTAAGCCCAGAGTTTGTAGGCTGTGACTCTTGAATCCTGATCCAACTGCTGACACGGACTGCCTTCTTGGCCTCTGGCAAAATGTGAACTCCTCTGCTCCTGGTTTTCTGACTGCAGAGTGGGGCTCATAATGCTTTACTCCCTACCCTGAAGGGCTGCAATGAGAAATAATTAGTTGGCGTTTGAGGTCTTAGAAGTGCTGCTGGAAGTTCTTTTTGGCTCGTTGTCCTAGAGCTAATCCTTGCTACGTTGTTGTCAGCCTTTTGCAGATGGAGAAAGTGAGGCAAAAAGTGACATACTTACCTAATGAGAATGTTGCATGCAACCATTCCTTTGCGTGGATGCATCCGTTTAGTCCAGCTGAAATTGGGAGTTGTTGTCCAAAGTTGCAGTATTTTTGTATATACAAATACATTATGCCAAACTACGTGTTTTCAATTAAATCCATTTCATTTAAGCTTTCAAATCCAGCAGAATCACAAAAATTGAATGGGATTAAGGAAAAGTCTACCAAGCGGTGTATTTCCAGTTGCCTGCCTCCTTCATTTCCCACTCAGTGCAAGGCCAGCTTTTCCAAACCTAAATTATGTTATGTATGATTGATTCACATACTGGTTGAGCCTTCTCATAGGTATATGTGGCTGTTATTTCAACTGGAAATGCTGATCTGTGCCTCAGCATAGCATAGGGGCTTCAGTGTTTAGAAATGGGTTTAACCTGAATAAAGCAGAAAGTCAGAATTTTATCTGTGAATGGTCTGCCTTTTGACATATCCAGCCAGCCCTTTGTTTTAATGGATTTGTTTGCGCTTGTGCTTCTTGCCCTTTAAAGAGTTATTAACTTTCATCTGGGAATGAAATTTCATTTGTGTTTTCTAAAACATGCTTGTTAACAGGGTCCCTGTCGTAGAGAAATGGAAGACACTTTAAACCACCTAAAGGTCCTGAATGTCTTGAGTCCCAGGGGTTTTCATATTCCAAATTGTGACAAGAAGGGCTTCTACAAGAAAAAGCAAGTAAGTACAGAGTCTTCATCACTTCAATGAAGTCTTCGTCATTTCAATGAATGTAGTTCATCTTTTCTGCATCTTTGCTGAAGGATCTTGCCAACAAGGTGCACTATGTGTCATTTCAGAGAGGAACTAGTTGATGTCCAGTTTTAGGACCTGATCTGATAGTGCTAAACCTTGTCAAGTGGGGACAGTGTTTTTATTTTCTGTTGGTCATGACAACAGATTCATTTGAGAAACTTCATACCTAATCACACATGGGTTGGCTGATGTCCTAGATACTAATGCCCTTTGGTTTAAAAAAAGCAGTGCCTCTGTAATAACCCACAGAGCTAAATGTTGCAGTCACCATATGACTGCAATAGATCAATGGTTTGAATTGTAAATAGCTGCTGGAGAGTTCCTAGAAGAACCGCACTGGATCATATTACAAAAGGCAACTTGAGAAAGGCGTATATCTGTCCTTTAGATGCTACACAGATCACTTCCAAAATCCAGGTCATGTTATCATGAAAGCGATACATCAGATAGTTACTTTGCAGCAAGGATGGCTTCTCGGCCCTCTTTGGTTCTGGGGTTGTCACCTTACTTGAAAAATGCAGACCTGACTGCAGGTATTTATGCTTCAGTTGTGTTGAGTTGAGCTACGGCAGCATTCTGTGTCCAGTGCTGCCCTTGAAGCTCATTCAGGAACTTGGGGGAGTGCAAGAGGTACCGGGTTCTTTGCTTAGTGTGCGCATCCTGTCTAATTCCAGTGTTTAGTTAGAGACCTGCCACCAAATGCGTTTCTTGGTACGATTCCAAAATTTCCTGAATTCAAAAGTTTCTTTAAGCCTTGCCTCAAGGCAGACCGTCTGTAAGGACAGATTTTGTTTGTGGACCATCTTATCTCTCCCATTTGGGTTTACATGAGTCAGCCTCTCCATCTCTGGTAACCAAAAGAGCGTCTGACTGTGTGTTACTAGCTAATGCAGTTCATTGCTGGGAAGTGAGAGGCCAGCCTCCAGCCAGGCGGCCTTATTTTAGGAATGGTATCTCTCCATTTTTTGGCTTCCAGCTTTCTTAGAAACAGTCTTTCCCTTTCGGGTATTCCCTGGAGCTCTGCGTTAAGCTGGCAGTGTCAGGTGGGGCGTTTGCAGTAGGGGTGAGGTTTCCAGCCTCCCCTTCTGCCATCAGCCCAGCATCGACTGCGCGGTTTGACCTTCGGTGTGTGCTGCTGGGCTTGTCTATGCTACACGGCTTTTCCCGAGCAGGTGGTGGCAGCTCCGAAGCGGGGACAGAGTTTCTTTTTGTTGTCTGGAATTTTGAGAAGCCCATGTCATTCATGTCCCGCTGCATGTAAACTAGCAGAGAGCAATGTTCACACCTCGGTCTGCGTTTGTTCAGAAAATGCGTCCAACTGCTCAAGTGGAGTGAGGCTACGACTGTATTTTGTGCCTGTGCCTTAAAACCATTTCTTAGCTACTCTAGAACAGCACATCACTGAACTGCATGCAAGGCACGCAAGCGTACTGTAGCCCTTTTCCTTCTCTAGATATTACAGAAGACCACAGATTGGTGTTTACTTTGTTTAGTAGATCTTCCTTTCATCTGTCTTCAGACTCTGAGGTTTTTGCTTCGTCGTCAAAAAGGTGGTGGTTTGCACACCGTCACTGGCATGTGCATGTAGTAAATCAGATCCACAGTAAGCACGTATTAAAGTTCCTTACTTTAAAGGATGACTGTACTTTAAAGCACAGTCATAGTTCTGCTACTGGGGCAGAGAAAAAGGAAATATGGAGGAAAAAAGTGGGAAAGGCAGATAATACACTGACCTAGTCTTTGTCCATAGAAGTTGATTTATGAGGATAAGGTGTTGGTATGGAGCAAAGACACACTTCTGCTCTCTGTGTAGTGTCTGTGCTGCCTGGAGACTTTCAGACTGATGTAGGAAAGGTTCCTGCACTATATGCAACAGCCCATCCAGTCAGCAAACATAAAGGATGAAGGGGCACTTTCATACCTGGCCAGCCTTGTCAAGCGCCGTGCCAATTTACACAGGTCCAGTAGTTTCAATGGTAGTTTGAGATAACTCGGGATCTTGTAGGAGATGCCCACAAATGAAGTCCATGTGAGCAAATATTCTCCATGAAATGCAGCTGGAGTGCTTCTCCTGTAAATGAACCTCAGTCAACCCTGGAACAGGCCTCTACAAGTAGGGCTTACGGACGCAGGCTGCTTCTCACGCAAACAAAATGCAAGCCAAAAATAATGTATTTGAGTTGCCATTGTAGAATTAACTCCTAGAAAAAAAGCATCAGTTTGAGAAGTGATTGAGTCCTGTCCAGACTGAATTCACTGTCTGCAAGGCAATGTGACAGTTGTGTGTTGCATGTGTTTGGTTTGCTTTCTGGAGCATCAACGTGTAGGTCTGATATTTTAGGCACTGTCAGCAGGTGTCTAATCTCATTAACAGAATGCTAGGCTATTTGATTAATTTCCTTCATTGTTATTATTAGCAGCATTCAATCAGTAATTCAAATATATTCTGTTGTGACAACAAAATGCAGAATAAATAGGAAAGAGACAGTAAATCCATCGAAAAATGAGTATGAGCTAGGCATTTTTAATTCTGGAAACAGCTGCCAAAACCACTGTCTAGGATGATAAGATATATAGGTGTGTGATGGTAGGAATATGATAAATTATGATCACCCTGGCAAACATTAAAACTCATTCAGGAGACGCTTCACATGTTAGTATATTGCGCTTTCCTGGTCAGCTTCTCTTCCAGACACGTTCAAAGACTTTTGTGGATATCTAGAAACTGACTTTTCAGGAACAATGTTAGGGAGTAATTTGCATATGCGAAACAATTTTAAGAACATAAATTTTTATCTGTCAGGGTATAACACGAAAAATATTTTGCACCTTGTGTTTACATGTAAACTTTCTTAAAATCAGACCTATTAAAATTTTGGGTTCTTTGTGTTAATAAATCACACGTGTAAGGTTGTACTAGTCAACCGTGGTATGTAGGTATATTTACATGTAATAGGTTGATACAAGCGCATTCCTGCTGCAAGCGTGGAAAAATAAAAGGTTTTGATGAAATTAGAATTATTATATGGGGCAATTACTAGAATTGCCAGATACTCCCATAAATGTGAGCTGGCGTCGTTCCACTGAAAACAGAGCTGGGCTTGGCGGGAGCCAGAACGGCCCGAGGTATATGTCAATGCTGTCTGCAGTCTGTTGCAGGAGACCACAGATGTAGCTCCACGGAGACCTCTGGGCTGACCAGGAATTCGGTGGGATACCATATGCTTTGCTGTGCCCCGTGCATGCCTCTGCGGCCCTTCTTTGTGGAAGGGAGAGAGGCAGGTGGCATGGAAGCTGGCAGCTGGTGTTTCTATCAGAAGTAATTACTGGCTCCACCGCTTGGGTACACTTCCATCTTTTTGGACTTCTGAAGTCATACAGAAGAGCTGGGCAGAGCCTTGAAATGTATGTGGAGTACAAAATTCAGAACAGTGCATAATTATATTTTTTTTTTTTTTCCCCATATGAACTGTCCACCACTTCTGTCGGGAGTGCAAGCTAGCTGCTTCAGGATAAAAGCATCACTTGAATCAGAAGTGCTTTATGATTGACAGCATGGCTGAGCGGGTAGTACAAAATTGCAGATTGGATAAGGTGAATTGTTTCCTCACAGAGCGTTATTTCAGCTGTAGAATGATTTAAGCGTTTCATTTTCCAAACGTGTTGTCTAGAAGAAATTAAAAAAATAATAGTAGTAGGGAAGGTGTTCCTGCAGACTAACTTCATGTTGTAGTTAATTCCAAAAATTGATTATGCAACTGTAAAAGGCAATCAGAACCTCCAACAACATGAGATAACTTTAATTGATCATTTGTTTTGAGAGTGATGCAAGCCTGTGAATCAGCGAGAGTTGTGTAACATACTTCATATAGCACTTCTAAAAGGGGACGCTGTGTTACTATTGTTAGCAGAAGTGTAGTTTTGTTGCCAGAGCACCAGGCTGGCAGCCAGAAGCCCTGTGCTCTAATTTGGGCCCCATCTATGCCTGCTGTCTTGGGAAAAACAACTCAAGAACTGCTGCCTCAGTTTCCCTTTTCTGTAAAATTTAAATTGTGCAAAGACTGTTGTTTAGGAATTCCTCAGTTTTGAGCACTAAGAGTTTTAAGTCACTGAATGTTAATACCACTTAAGCTAGAGTCCAGTCCAGCTGCCACCAAAATTGAAGGAAAATTTCCCATTGACGTCAGTGGACTTTGAGCAGCCCTTCATGGAAATCCTGGAGAATACGTGCAAGCCCTAGTCAGCCTTTGGAGACAATAAACAGAAGTTGTAAAACTTGTGTTTAAAGATGTAGTACAGTGAACCAGCTGAACAGGTAACTAGAATTCAAATGCAGTTAACCTTGTGGTTCAGCAAATTGTTAATGTAGATGTTCTCTCAGTAGGTTTGAACTTCTTTGCCCTCTCCTAAAACCTGATATGTACTTTTAAGCTTGATCTTGTCATCCTGCTGCCGTCCTTTTGCATGGGGCTAATGCAGAAGGACTGCAAATTCAGAGAAGAGAAGGCGTTCTATTATTTCTGCGTTGGGCTTGTTACTCAAATATATCACGAGGATAGATTACTTAGCAATTAATGGTGATTAACATTACTTCATTTACTTTAAAATAAAATAAACAAGATGGAAACTTGTTAAGAAACTTGTGTCTAATGTTGATCTGCTGTCATCTCTTTCACAAGTTGCTAGTGAAGACTATCTACCCTGTTCCATGCTGCCACAAATTGGGCTCAAGAGCCAATGTGCAGGTGCAGGCTGTGGCAGCAGTGACCCGTGTTCACAGTTCTGTCCAGAATACCACCCTTTTGCCTGAGGACCTAAACTAGACGTTGAAAGGGTCAGGCACTTTGGGCAGCATGTGAAGGCCAACAGTTGTTTGAAGTTTCCTTGTGTACCTACAGATGGAAAAGATGCTTAGCTTTGTGAGCTGCTGCCATACCCACATGGGAGATGGGCGCATGCCTATTACACTCTGGTGAACAAGCAGTTGAGCGGTAGCGACAAAGTTTACTTGACTTCTACCAGCGTGAACCTCTGAAGTACTTGAATTGCTGTGAGTGTGATCTCAGGGGCAGCATTTGCTCTGCTTGCATTATAGCCTTTACAGTGTTGAGGGCCATAAGTGGCTTCAGTCTAGCCTATTCTTCGTGTTGGCAATGCAACAGCTGAAACCTCAGTCTTTGAAAAGCTAGCTACCTCCTTGAGAAGTCTGTCCTGACTAAGCAGCCACCTCTGTTAGCATTTGCAACTCATCCTTTGTCACCAAATCTCAGAACCTGAGCTGACATGGAGACTATGTCTCGATGATGAGGTTGACCATGGCAAACCTAGTGAGATAATGTGTGTCTTGGGAGACACGTCTTCCGAGTGGGTGAAAATCTTCTGGGGCCCCAGAGGTTCACAGTACGTAATGGTGTCCAGGGTTGCATACTGAGTGCAGCCTGCAGCATGTCATCTCCTTTGGTCTAGTTTTTACCATTCTTGGTTGCCTGGAGAGAGCATTACTTATTTATTCCATACTAGACTTTATAATGTGTTTTTACTGCCTTACTGTTTCTAAAGAAGTTCAGTGTCATTGCTTGTCTAGTGGTAGTTTCTGGTTGGTCAGTGCTGCTGGAAAACGCCACCAGGCAACTTCTAAAGCTGACATAGGTTACAGACTGGTATATAAGCAACCTCATTTGTAGGAAAATATACGTGTAAAGTTCTAGTACACCTAGCAGTTGAAGTGATAACTCCATTATAGAAGGATTGTGTATCTGTTAATAAATGTCAACTATGCTATTGAAATTCCTCCAGCAAACAGATGCAAGCCAAGGGCGTTTATTTCTGCAATGGCTGTCTTTGCCAGACTTTGTGCTTTAGCATAGAACAAATCCATTAACTTTCTTTTCCAAAGATGGGTCCCAGTCATCAGCCCGTACTGTTGTAAGTAGTCCCAGTGTTCAAAGGTGGCAACTGTGCTGCCTAATGTAACGGGGAGTAGTTCATAAGGCCGTTTTCTGGTAGTTCTCAGAGCAGTTTTATCAAGGAGTAATTAGACCCAAAGAGGTTGATAGGTGGAGGAGGTAAGCTTTTATTGTAGTACTTTGTAATAAATATTGTAATAAATATTCTGTTTGATTCTGTCGGATGTGGCCAGGATATGGAAGTGCAGCAGTCAGATGAGCAGGAATCCCTGCTACGTAATGCTAAGAGCAGAGAAAACGAAAATGATGCGAATTTGGTCTTTTATTCTGTTTCAGTGTCGCCCATCCAAAGGCCGAAAGAGAGGTTACTGCTGGTGTGTGGATAAATACGGACAGCCACTTCCCGGCTATGATGGGAAGGGAAAAGGAGACGTCCACTGCTATAACTTGGAAAGCAAATGAGGGCTGGGCGCCAGCTCTTCTGGCACCTGTGCGTGGCCGCTGGACCTCGCAGAGGCCTTGGAGGGGCTGGGCACACCCTGCGGACTGTGTTGCGCGCGGAGCGGCGAGCTCTGCCTCCTGCGGCGCATGGGGAGCCGCAGCCCTGCGGACGGTCACGTGAACCTGCACTATTGATACCCAGAGAGAGGTTGAAGAACAAAAGGCACTTCGGAAAGGATTCAGGGAGTCTCCACTGACTTTTTAAAGAACGGCCTGTGACCAATTTGATCCCGAAGGATACTGTTTTCTATTTTAAAGAATTTATAGATTGTAAGCTTGTAAAAGTATTAAAGCGGAAAAAAAAAAAAACCGAAACACTGAACCCCACAAGGTTTTAAAGGTTAAGCTTTTTTTACAGGTCTGACGGGAAACTTATCTTCACGGGTAAAAAGTTTTATAAAAATCTCAAAGAACTTTTTAGAGAAACGTATTTCTAAAATAAAGACATTGCTATTTTTTCTGTAAAATATATTATGAATATTCTGTTAGTCTGTATTTAATATAATTGTTTTTTAATAAACTTTATTTAAATGTAACATGTGAATACCAAATGCTACACATTAATTCTAGTGTATACTTCTGTATGCAAAGAGAAAGTAAGGGTATGGAACGATTTACAAATATGTATAGATCCATATGCATACACACTGACCTATCCTAGATGATAGAAGTGAATTTGTGGAGCGAAGGAAGTGTTTCCAGAAGAGATTAAGTTTGGTTATTTGAAGTAACTACAAAGATAATATTTTTAAAATTTTTTTAATTATTTGATTTCATTGGTATTTCTAATGTACCCATCACTGAATTATGCCACTGGAGAGGACAACAGTTGCACTGAAGCTCTTGGTAAAGCATTCTTCTCTCTGCCCTTTGCTTCAGTTTGTGCAACAGGGCTTAAGTTTCCTCTGTTTCCTGGTCATGCTAATACGGAATATTCATGAACAAAAAATTGCTTTTACATCATCACCCTTGCTATTTTCCTATTTATTTTGAAAAGCTGTACCTATTCTGTGTTGTCTTGGTACCCTCTACCAAAGCACGTATTCTGTATGAGGCACTCTTGTTTAAAACAGTGCCAACAAGATGGGGGGGTTGTGGACCTGGGTGTCGAAACCTGCACGCTTCATGTACGCTACACACGATTGTTGCTTGCTTTGACTTTGGTAGAAATGATTTGCCTGCATCTAAGCATAGAATAAGAACCATTGGGTTTAAATATTAAAACCGACTGTCTGCCATGATGTTACATGTCCTTTTAATTGGAAGAGAAGTGATTTGGTTTTGTTCTGGTATGTGATGCTTTCATGTAAGGAAGGCTTTGGCAACATTTTTTTTTGGAGGCTGATTGTTTACTGAACTTCATGACAAATTCTGTGTGGCAATGAAATCTTGATAAGGAAAGGTGGCCTGTGAAATGTAACATTTCTCTGGAAAGTAATGCCATATTTTGTATATGTATTTATTTATATATTTTATATAAATATTTTATATATTTATATAAATATATAATATATTCTTGTATGTGTCACTATAAATGTTTGATGTCACTGTAGAAAAAAGAAACCATCGACACTGTAATTTCCTGCTGGGTTGGGAACTCTGTGGAGGCTGAGGGCCGTCGGTTTCCAGCTGATGGGGCCGGGGGTTGTGCTGACGGAGGGGAGACTGCGGGGTTGAGGAGCCCGTTCCTCTCCCTCCCCATAAATTACAACCACTCTTGTTCCTGCCAGCAATGTCAAATGTCTTGAAACTCTGACATGGAAAGGTTTGGCGATGCAGCTTGCCAGGATTGAGACAGCCGATCACCATAAATCAGATTTTAAAGCCTTACCCTGAAATGCATTAGCTGAATAGCCCTCTGTGCGTTCTGCACATCTTCCTAATTTCTATCAAAAGGTGTTCACGTCATCGTTAAAACTGAAAATTTTTAACTGTAGAATAAGAAAAAAGTATATGTGAAGTGATGCTTAATCCAGACTAATACAGATTTGCTGGCAGATGGTTACAGAAAGTTTTGTGAGTTGAAGGTCTATTGCAATATTTTTACTGCTAATACATATGTAATGCCTGCAAAGATTTGCTGGCAAAAAAATAAATGTTGTGCCTTTTTTTTTTTTTTTTAGAGTTGTAAACCAGTGCCTTTCAAATAATTTCACAGAGGGAAGAAAGTTATATACACTCTAATATTTGGGCATGTGACCATGGGTGTGAAAATAAGGGTTGGAAACAGGAGAGGGCATAAGTATTTCACCTCCTTTTTTTAATCGCTATCTCATGAGCTTTCTGAAAAAGAAAAGCAGCTTCTCAGTAAAAAAGGTGCCTTTCAAGCCACATTTTGCTATTATGGCAGAAATGTTTCAACAGTCCATGACAGTATTGCTGATTGGTGTATTTTGTCAAGTTTTTAAGCTTTTTATGTTTTGCCCTACCATTAAAAACAAATAAGATAGAAGCAGCTGGCTAGCAAAGGTCCTTAAGTGATACTAAATTCTCTAATCTATGCAGAGCACCAACTTTATTTTTTTAAAAATACTACATCTCAAGGAACTCAAGCTGATTCAAGCAAGCAATCTGTCAGATGAATTATTTAAGAAATTGCATTCAGCTCCTTTAGTGGTACCAATGGTCTTCAGTAGGTGACGCAGAAAACGTACAGCCAGCCAGAAGGGGGAAGGAGAAATTGCGTGGTTGTGCAAGTCGGTTTGGTTACGTTGCTTCCAACAGATGTCTTGAAAACAAAGACCCTGTCTAAAAATAGCCCCAAAACATTCTCGCCTGTAATTTAAAGCTTTCTATTTTTCAGAAGTTGTCTTTTAGATACTTTTTAAATACACAGTTACTTGCCCCAGTATTGGATACCTCCTGTTGCCCGTTTCATGTTTCTGGCACCTGGCATTCTTGCTAAGAAATGCAAAATAACATTATTTCCCCTCCCAAAAAACCTGACTATTTAAAATTAAAGGAATCAGTGGTGGCTTTTTCCTTTTTGTTTGTTGGTTTTTTTGGTTTTTTTTCTTTTTTAGCATTCCTATTTCTGTGAAGACAAGGGTTCAATTCGATAGACAATTTACTTGTCATTCAAAAATTTTTCTTATGGCTGTAGGAGGCGGGCTGTAATTCAAACAAAAATATTTGTGGGCTACATCCAAGCAGCTGAATGTGGGCAGCACAAAGCAAATGTGTGGATCGGTATCAGTTCAGGGGAAGATCTCCCTCCCCAGACAGGTTAGAAATGGTTCCTGCGAAGAGCTGCAGTGAGTGGAGGACTTTGGGGTTGGTGGCAGAAATGTTTTAGCAATGCATTAGCCAAATATCTCCTGTTTTGGTGCCTTCACAGCCTGCAGTTCAGGTGGTTTATTTTATTAGGTGAACATTTGTCAGCGTTTTTCTTATTTTTAACAAGCTCGCTCAAGAATCTCAGATGATGTGCGTGAACATTATGAAGTCTGAGAAAAAATCTTTGTAACTGCTAACGATTTTCACACGTGAAACATTTGCATGGGAAGGCACTACAAAAGCTTAATGTATGTACTGCAAAAAGTGCTGATTTCTTTTTGAGCATATTTCATCTCTAGATGCTACCTGGGTACCATGTAGCCCAGATTGATGTGGTAAGTATTTATTTTAACCAACGTAATAAATAGTTGCATAAATCCCTATAACTGACCAGAATGCAAGTTAAAGCTGCCTGCAGGCAGCTCTATTATCTTTCAAACTATTTGAGAAAGTTTCCTTTTTTAATAGAGCTACTGTGCTATAGTCTTTTGAGCTCAGAATATCCTTCTCCACCTTTTTGGCATGCACACCCTTCAGGGCATAATGTGAGCTATTTGTGCACAGGGGAAGGAAGCTTCAATGAATACCAAAACCACAGAATTAATTAGCTTTTAGTACAGTCTGAACTTTTTATGACTAAATTCCATAGAAGCCTTAACAGCATAATTCTTTATTGGACTGAGCCCTAAATTTAAGTAATGGTTTTACAAACCTTTTGGGAAATGATTTTTTGGTATCTCTAGTCACTCTCTGAAACTGTGTAAGCAAGGATGGCTCCACAGAGATTTTACGTATTAGCAAAAGGAATTAAATTTGAAGTATGAAAAGTGCTCAGCAGTTTTCCTGGATGCCAAAGCATGTTAGAATGCAAGATGTAATGTTTGTATAGGCAGCTGTTTTGTATGTGGTCCTGATGTGCCTTTAGGAACTCCTCACATCTAGGAATTTCCATTAGAAGAATATGCTTGCTTCCTGCATTGGAAAGGACCCCTGTTTCTTCCCCTACTCCCTCGTTTTTCTGAGAGATCAGAAAATAAGATCCAAAAAGCGTATCAGTGTATTCCAAGGGTGAGTTTTTGTGGTCAGTATCAGTAATGCCTTTGTCTGCAAGTGTGCAAAATTCATTTTGTTTAAAGCCATTAGAACAGAAGTGTTTTGATATGTCCAGTGGACCTGGGCATCTTCTTCCAACTGAACAGTATTTAACCTTCATTTGATTTTGGAGTCTCCATCCCTGGAGATATTAAAAATCCATCTGGACATGGTCCTGGGCAACCGGCTTGAAGTGGCCTCGCTTGAGCAAGGGGCTTGGATCAGGTGACATCCAGAGAACCCTTCCAGCCTCAACCAACCTCTGATCCTATGAACCTGTCAGGATGTGGTAGCTTGGTGTCTGGAGTTCCAGCGCGTGAGATTGGCTACATCATACAACATATTGATTGCAAAGGTGTTGCATCTTTTTCTGCTAAAAAGGAAATTTCCTGGTAAAATGGCAAGTAGTGCCATTTTGTTGTTCACCAGAAGACGTTTTTGTTTTAAAACTGCAATTTATGTATTATTTCTTCCAGTTCAGATTTTGGAGCTGTAGAAGTATATACACCAGCCTTAGAGAAAATCCCATTATAAAAACCTTTGCTCTTGCTTTTGCCCTGTACATATATTAAAAAAATGCAGTCGACTTCAAAGCTGTAACTTGCAGCTGAAAAAAAAAAACGGAGACCAGGTATTAGCAGAAGCAAAGGGTAATGCT